TCACCTAGTGGTGCCCTCACCTAGTGGTGTCCCTCACCCATGGTGCCCCCACCTAGTGGTGTCCCTCACCCAGTGGTGTCCCCACCTAGGGTGCCCCTCACCTAGTGGTGTCCCCACCTGTGTGCCTCACCCAGTGGTGTCCCTCACCCAGTGGTGCCCCTCACCTAGTTGTGCCCCTCACCCAGTGGTGTCCCCACCCATGGTGCCCCTCACCTAGTGGTGTCCCTCACCTAGTGGTGTCCCTCACCTAGTTGTGCCCCTCAACGTGGTGTCCCTCACCCATGGTGTCCCTCACCTAGTGGTGTCTCACCAGGGGCCCCCACCCAGTGGTGCCCTCACCCATGGTGTCCCTCACCTAGTGGCGCCTCACCCAGTGGGGCCTCACCTAGTAGTGCCCTCACCCAGTGGTGCCCCTCACCTATTGGTGCCCCTCACCTAGTGGTGTCCCTCACCTTGGTGCCCTCCCTGTGGTGCCCCTCACCTAATGGTGCCTCACCCAGTGGTGTCCCTCACCTAGTGGTGCCCCTCACCTAGTGGTGTCCCTCACCCATGGTGCCCCTCACCCAGTGGTGTCCCTCACCTAGTGGTGCCCCTCACCTAGTGGTGTCTCACCCAGTGGTGCCCCTCACCTAGTGGTGTCCCCACCCAGTGGTGTGTCCCTCACCCAATGGTGCCCTCACCTAGTGGTGTCCTCACCTAGTGGTGCCCCTCACCTAGTGGTGTCCCTCACCCATGGTGCCCCTCACCTAGTGGTGTCCCTCACCAATGGTGTCCTCACCAGTGGTGCCCTCACCCAGAGCCCTCACCTAGTTCCTCACCCAGTGGTGTCCCCTCACCTAGTGGTGTCCTCACCTAGTGGTGCCCCTCACCTAGTGGTGTCCTCACCCAGTGGTGCCCCTCACCTAGTGGTGTCCCCACTGTGGTGCCCCTCACCTAGTGGTGTCCTCACCCAATGGTGCCCCTCACCTAGTTGTGCCCTCACCCAGTGGTGTCCCTCACCTAATGGTGCCCCTCACCTAGTGGTGTCTCCCACCTAGTGGTGCCCCTCACCTAGTGGTGTCCCTCACCTAGTGGTGTCCCTCACCTAGTTGTTCCCTCACCCTAGTGGTGTCCTCACCTAGTGGTGTCCCTCACCTAGTGGTGTCCCTCACCTAGTGGTGTCCTCACCCAGTGGTGCCCCTCACCCAGGTGTCCCTCACCTATGGTGCCCCACCTAGGTGTCCCCACCCCTCACCTAGTGGTGTCCCTCACCTAGTGGTGTCCCCTCACCTAGTGGTGTCCCCACCCAGTGGTGCCCTCACCTAGTGGTGTCCCTCACCCAGTGGTGTCCTCACCCAGGTGGTCCTCACCCAGTTGCCCTCACCTAGTGGTGTCCCTCACCCAGTGGTGCTCCCACCTAGTGGCGCCTCACCCAGTGGTGCCCCCTCACCTAGTGGTGTCCCTCACCCATTGGTGCCCCTCACCCAGTGGTGCCCCTCACCCAGTGGTGCCCTCACCTAGTGGTGTCCCTCACCCAGGGTGTCCTCCCCCAGTGGTCCACCCAGGTGCCCCTCACCTAGTGGTGTCCTCACCCAGTGGTGCCTCACCCAGTAGTGTCCCTCACCTAGTGCCCCTCACCAGGCCCCACCAGTGGGGCCCCTCACCCAGTGTACCTTCACCTAATGGTGCCCCTCACCCATGGTGGTGTCCCTCACCTAGTGGTGCCTCACCTAGTGGTGTCCCCACCTAGTGGTGTCCCTCACCTAGTTGTGCCCCTCACCTGTGGTGTCCCTCACCTAGTGGTGCCCCCACCCAGGTGTCCCCACCTAGTGGTGCCCCCACCCATGGTGCCCTCACCCAAGGGTGCCCCCTCACCCAGTGGTGCCCCTCACCTAGTGGTGTCCCTCACCCAGTGGTGTCCCTCACCTAGTGGTGCCCTCACCTAGTGGTGTCCCCACCTAGTGGCGCCCTCACCTAATGGTGCCCCTCACCCAGTAGGTGTCCCTCACTCAGTGGTGTCCCTCACCTAGTGGTGCCCCCACCAGTGGTGTCCTCACCTAGTGGTGTCCCTCACCCTAGTGGTGTGTCCCTCACCTAGTGGTGTCCCCACCCAGTGGTGTCCCTCACCCAGTGGTGTCCTCACCTAGTGGTGTCCCTCACCTCACCTAGTGGTGTCCCCACAGTGGTGTCCTCACAGTGGTGCCCTCACCTAGTGGTGTCCCTCACCTAGTGGTGTCCCTCACCTAGTGGTGTCCCTCACCTAGTGGTGTCCTCACCTAGTGGTGTCCTCACCCAGCCCTCACCTAGTGGTGTCCTCACCTAGTGGTGTCCCTCACCTAGTGGCGCCCTCACCTAATGGTGCCCTCCCTAGTGGTGCCCCTCACCTAGTGGTGCCCCCACCCAGTGTCCCTCACCTAGTGGTGTCCCTCACCTAGTGGTGCCCTCACCCATGGTGCCCCTCACCCAGTGGTGTCCCCACCCAGTGGTGCCCCTCACCCAGTGGTCCCTCACCTAGTGGTGCCCCTCACCTAGTGGTGTCCCTCACCTAGTGGTGTCCTCACCCACGAGTGCCTCACCCAGTGGTGCCCTCACCCAGTGGTGCCCCTCACCTAGTGGTGCCTCACCTAGTGGCGCCCCTCACCTAGTGGTGCCCCTCACCTAGTGGTGCCCTCACCCAGTGGTGTCCTCACCCATGGCGCCCTCACCTGTGGCGCCCTCACCTAGTGGTGTCCCCACCTAGTGGTGTCCCCACCTAGTGGTGCCCCTCACCTAGTGGTGTCCCTCACCTAGTGGTGTCCCTCCCCAGGGTGCCCCACCCAATGGTGTCCCTCACCCAATGGTGTCCTCACCTAGTGGTGCCCCTCCTAGTGGGGCCCCTCATCTAGTGGGCCCCTCACCCAGGGGGCCCCACCCAGAAGTGCCCCTCACCCATTTGCCCCTCATCTAGTGGCCCCTCACCCAGTGGCGCCCCTCACCTAGTGGCGCCTCACCCAGTGGGCCCTCACCAATGGTGTCCCTCACCTACTGGTGCCGCTCATCTAGTGCCCCTCACCAGTGGGGCCCCTCACCTAGTGGGGCCCCTCACCCAGAAGTGCCTCACCTAGTGGGCCCCTCACCTAGTGGTGCCTCACCTAGTGGTGCCCTCACCTAGTGGCGCCCTCACCTAGTGGTGCCACCTAGTGGTGCCTCACCCAGTGGTGTCCTCACCCAATGGCGCCCCTCACCTAGGCGCCCCTCACCTAGTGGTGTCCCTCACCCAGTGGTCCTCACCTAGTGGTGCCCCTCACCTAGTGGTGTCCTCACCCAGTGGTGTCCCTCCCTAGTGCCCTCACCCAATGGTGTCCCCACCCATGGTGTCCCTCACCTGTGGTGCCTCATCTAGTGGGGCCCCTCACCTAGTGGGGCCCTCACCCAGAAGTGCCCTCACCCATTGGTGCCCCTCATCTAGTGGTCCTCACCTAGTGGCGCCCCTCACCTAGTGGCGCCCCTCACCCAGTGGCGCCCCTCACCCAATGGTGTCCCTCACCCATGGTGCCGTCATCTAGTGGCCTCACCCAGTGGGGCCCCTCACCCAGGGGCCCCCACCCAGAAGTGCCCCCACCTAGTGGGGCCCCTCACCTAGTGGCGCCCTCACCTGGGCCCCTCACCTAGTGGTGCCCTCACCCAGTGGCGCCCTCACCCAGGGGGCCCCTCACCAGTGGTGCCCCCACCTAGTGGTGCCTCACCTAGTGGGGCCCCCACCTAGTGGCGCCCCTCACCCATGGTGTCCCTCACCCATGGTGTCCCCACCTAGTGGGGCCTCACCTAGTGGTGCCCCTCACCCAATGGTGTCCTCACCCAGTGGCGCCCCTCACCCAGGGGGCCTCACCTAGTGGTGCCTCACCCAGTGGGGCCCCTCACCTATTGGTGCCCCTCACCTAGTGGTGTCCCCACCTATTGGTGCCCTCACCCAGGTGCCCTCACATAGTGGTGTTCTCACCCAGTGGTGCCCCTCACCTTGGTGCCTCACCTAGTGGGGCCCCCACCTAGTGGGGCCCCACCTTGTGGCGCACCTCACCTAGTGGTGCCCCTCACCTATTGGTGCCCTCACCCAGTGGGGCCCTCACCTGTGGCGCACTCACCTAGTGGTGCCCCCACCTAGTGGTGCCCCTCACCTAGTGGGGCCCCTCACCCAGGCGCACCTCACCTAGTGGTGTCCTCACCTAGTGGTGCCCCTCACCTATTGATGCCTCACCTAGTGGTGCCCCTCACTTAGTGGTGCCCCTCACATAGTGGTGTTCCACCTTGTGGCGCACTCACCTAATGGTGCCCTCACCTAGTGGTGCTCCTCACCTAGTGGGGCCCCTCACCTTGTGGCGCACCTCACCTAGTGGTCATTTGAGAGTATGTTGAGACTGACAGACACGCGAGAGTTACATCATTCCCCTAACATTTTAACAAGGTGTGTTATATATATAGAGAGAGTGTGGACTTGATTATTATAGATGCTATCAGTATCCCCACTCTCTCCCACGCACACCTTCATCCTCTCCTCCCCTCCCACCTCCCTACCCTCCTATCTCAGTCTTCATTCTTTTCCTCCACCCCTCCTGCCCCCCCACATATGTATTGCCGTGCGGAAGACTTGATATGATTTATATAAGGAAGGTATTGGGGTATGGTCTTCACCGTCAATAGGCGCGGGAGGAGGTGTGAGGGGGGAAGAGGGGGAGGGGGGAAGAGGGGTAGGGTTGTGGAGAGGGAGGAGATGGGAGGTGTGAAGTGGGAGGAGAGGGAAAGAAGGGGAAGAGAGGGAGAGAGGGGGGAGAGGATGGGGTCTTGTTTACTATTAATAGCATCACTTTGGTGTGTGTGTGTGTGTGTGTGTGTGTGTGTGTGTGTGTGTGTGTGTGTGTGTGTGTGTGTGTGTGTTTGTTTAACTTGGTTATGTACTCAGACAACACGTGTGTCAGCGCTGTCATGGCAGAAACACACACACACACACACACACACCATCACTTGATCGACACAGTTTCTTTTATTCAGTCACAACACCTGAACCTGATGACGTAATGGTTCACATAGTACAGGTGTGTGCCAGGCTGAGGGTCTACTCTCAGGCAACTCTTGTGAGGGAAGGGGAAGATGTACTCACCTTCGTCGAGGTTTGAGCCGATGAGGATCTCGGTCTTCTTAACCTCCCGCGGGGATCATCTCCAGAGGTTCGTCAGGGAGGAAGTCCCCGTCCACTATGGGGGTGGAGGGGAACTGTAGGAGGCCGAAGTAGCTGTTCCACTGCTGTAGGGAGAGGGTGAAGGGGTCTACACGTCTCATACAGTCCATCACCATCTCTGGTTCTTCGTTAATCAAGGAGGCGTTGCAACCGACGTCGTCGACGAGCCTCAGGCCGATGTCGTAGGCTTTGTCGGCAGACATGATGGACCACGGCGAGTTGACAACGCCAGACTGCAGGATGGCCCGGTCAAAGAGGTGGCTGGACACGGGCGACAGCAGGTGCACGGCGATGGACCCAGCGCCGGCAGACTCACCGAACAGAGTAATTCGATCTGGATTTCCACCAAAGAACTCGATGTTATCACGAATCCACTTCATTGCCAGAGCTTGGTCGTACATCCCCACGTTGCCGGGGGCGTCCTCTATGTCCAGGTACAGGTAGCCAAACGCCCCACAGCGGTACTGCATGGAGGCGACGATAAAGTTATTTGCTGTAGCCATGATGTCTGCGTCATAAATATCGAGAGTCGACGTCCCTCCCATGTAGCCGCCGCCGTAGATCCACACCAGGACCTCTGTAGGCTCGGCACCGGGATCCCGAAGGTGTGCAGGAGCCCAGATGTTGAGGAAGAGACAGTCCTCAGAGAGGTCGGTGTTGGGGTTCCATATCTGCTCACCGATGAAGCCTGGAAAATAGTTATAGGCCCTGGACACATGTGTTCGGAAGCTTAATCGTATCAAGGATGCCGGGCCAAGGGTCGACGGGGACAGGCTTTTTGTAGCGTAGATCTCCCACTGGCGGCTTAGCGAAGGGAATACCATAAAATGAATCCAGATTCTCGCCGTAAACATTTCTTCTGAAGCCCCTCACCAGACCACTCTTGGTCTGGACCACAAGTGGGTCCTTTGGTCTGGCTGTTTTGAACTTTTGTTCTTTATCTTCCCGACGCGGTTCGTTGACTTCCAGAGTTGAAGAATTAATAAGACTATTATGCAGGTCGGTGGCGACACAGAGCCCCACCAGAGCGGCCAGCAACAGCACCCAGCACAAGCTGACCTGAACCGCCATGGTGTCGAGGTCAGAGGAGCAGAGTATCACGATAATGTCATTAGTGAAACACCGATTGGGATCAAGTTTTGAGTCCCCACAGTACTGACACCATCACCGCTCGGTCCTGGCACTGTCACACGGCACTGCGATGTTTTGTTCTGCGGTGTTGGCACCTCGACAAGTAGCAGTGTAACCTCGGCACTCAGAACTGATACAACTAACACTGTGCCACTCAACTCTCTACCTTGTGATGCCGTAACAAATCTTTAACTCTAACCGCTGTACCTCTGGTGCCCATAGTGGCAGTGTTAATGCTGCAGCCAACAGTAGTCCACACGGTCCTTCTGTGCTCGCCGTCGACACCAAGAGGAACCTGAAAAATAAATAACAACTCTTAATAAATGTTCCATCAGAGCAGCTTACAGTACCTCAAGATAACCAGGACAGTCACACGTGTACACACACACACACACACACACACACACACACACACACACACATGTCATTACTCATGTACGTTTTAGCATACGCACATATTTTCCCACTCAAGTTATAGACTCCTCGAGGACCACCGACACTGACACAGACGCTTGGACACATACGCCAAGCTGACGGGCAGAAGCAGACAAGTCCTCCGGCTTTGTATCATAAAACAATGGTCTTTTCTTTGCCAGCGTCGCATGTCCGTCTCCCATTTACCTCTCCAACCTCAGTTGCGCAAAATAAAAGGATGCAGAAATTCTTTACTTTTTAATATCTTTTGTTCTCTTTCAAGGAGCAGGTAAATAAGTATCTTCCTTCCTTGAAAATGGCGACTTTTTTTTTTTTTGCTTTAATCTCTTATACAAAAGCTTAAATATCCTGTAGTTAGATGTTTGTTGATTCACTAACTCACGGCTTTAACCCCTTTGCGTATATGGGGGAAGTTACAACTGGGCATAAATTGTAAACATCATTGAAGGTGGACTGAGGACGATGGCACCTTGCTCTCTGTGGTAAACACTCTCCTCCTCAGACTCTAACTCGTCACTGTCAACTTATCGCCACTTCTCATGAGGAAGAAACACAGATTCTTTACCCATGACACGAGACTAAAATATACCCATGATATTTCCCCGACAACCAAACACCATTATTTATATCTTAGATCGACGTAGAGAAAGACTTAAGACTTCTGGTACAAGAGTGTGGTATAAGACCTCTGGTACAAGAGTGTGGTATAAGACTTCTCTGGTACAAGAGTGTGGTATAAGACCTCTGGTACAAGAGTGTGGTATAAGACCTCTGGTACAAGAGTGTGGTATAAGACCTCTGGTACAAGAGTGTGGTATAAGACCTCTGGTACAAGAGTGTGGTATAAGACTTCTGGTACAAGAGTGTGGTATAAGACCTCTGGTACAAGAGGTAGATAAGACTCTCAGCAAGAGTGTGGTGCTAGCATCTCTGGTACAAGAGTGTGGGTATAAGACCTCTGTACAAGAGTGTGGTATAAGACCTCTGGGCAAGAGTATGGGCAAGACCTCTGGTACAAGAGTGTGGTATAAGACCTCTGGTACAAGAGTGTGGTATGCGTAAGACTTCTGGTACAAGAGTGTGGTATAAGACCTCTGGCACAAGAGTGTGGTATAAGCATCTCCGCACAAGAGTGTGGGTATAAGACTCAAAGAGGTAGTATAAGACCCTGGTACAAGAGTGTGGTACAAGACCCTGGTACAAGAGTGTGGTATAAGACCCTCTGGTACAAGAGTGGTATAAGACCCTGGTACAAGAGTGTGGTATAAGACCCTGGCACAAGAGGTGGTATAAGACCCTCTGGGTACAAAGTGTGTAGCATCTCTGGCACAAGAAAGGGTATAGCACCTCTGGTACACAAGAGTGTGGGGTATAAGACCCTCTGCGGCTAAAAGAGGGTATAAGACCCTGGCACAAAGAGGCGGTATAAGACCTCTGGTACAAGAGTGTGGTATAAGACCCTGAAAAGCAAGAGTGGTATAAGACCTCTGGTACAAGAGTGTGGTATAAGACCTCTGGTACAAGAGTGTGGTATAAGACCCTGGGTACAAGAGTGTGGTATAAGACCTCTCAGTACAAGAGTGTGTGTATAAGACCTCTGGTACAAGAGTGTGGTATAAGACCTCTGGTACAAGAGTGGTATAAAGACTTCTGTACAAGAGTGGGGTATAAGACCCTGGTACAAGAGTAAACCCTGGGTACAAGAGTGTGGTATAAGACTTCTGCGGAAGGCATGAGTGGGTATACACCTATACAAGAGTGGTATAAGACCTTCCTGGGTACAAGAGTGTGGCAAGACCCTGTACAAGAGAGTGTGGTATAAGACCCTGGTACAAGAGTGTGGTGGAGGCACTTTCTGGTACAAGAGTGTGGTGAGCAAGACCCTGTACAAAGAGTGTGGTATAAGACCTCTGCGCTAAAGAGTGAGTATAAGACCTCTGGTACAAGAGTGTGGTATAAGACCCTCTGGTACGTTGAGTGTGGTATAAGACCTCTGGTACAAGAGTGTATAAGACCCTGGCACAAGAGGTGGTATACATCTCTGGGTGCCAAGAGTGGTATAAGACCCTCTGATACAAGAGTGTGGTATAATCAAAATAGAGTGTGCAAGACCCTCTGGTACAAGAGTGGTAAGACCCTCTGGTACAAAGAGTGTGGTAGCAAGACCCTCTGGGTACAAAGAGTGTGGTATAAGACTGGGTACAAGAGTGTGGGTATAAGACCTTCTGCCAAGAGGCGTGGTATAAGACCCTGGTACAAGAGTGTGTATAAGACCTCTGGTACAAGAGTGTAGTATAAGACCTTCAGTACAAGAGTGTATAAGAATTCTGGCACAAGAGCAAGTAAGACCCTCTGGGTACAAGAGTGTGGCATAAGACCCTCTGTACAAGAGAGTGGTATAAGACCTCTGGCAAGAGCGTGGTATAAGACCCTGGTACAAGAGTGGTAGAAGACCTCTGTACAAGAGTAAGGCAAGACCTCTGGTACAAGAGTGGTATAAGACCCTGGTACAAGAGTGTGGTATAAGACCCTGGTACAGTGAGTGTGTGGTGGAGACCCAGATACAAGAGTGTGGGTATAAGACCTCTGGTACAAGAGTGTGGTGATAAGACCCTGGTGCAAGAGAGTGTGGTATAAGACCCAGTACAAGAGTGTGATATAAGACCCTGGTACAAGAGTGTGGTATAAGACCCTGGGTACACAAGGAGTGTGGTATAGACTTGGTACAAGAGTGTGGTATAAGACTTCTGGTACAAGAGTGGTGGCGGTACCCCTGGTACAAGAGTGTGGTATAAGACCTCTGGTACAAGAGTGTGTATAAGACTGGTGCAAGAGTGTGGTATATAAGACTGGTACAAGAGTGTGGTATAAGACCCATGGTACAAGAGTGTGGGTATAAGACCTCGGTACAAGAAAAGGCAGACCGTGCAAGAGTGTGTATAAGACCCTGGTACAAGAGTGTGTATAAGACCTATGGTACAAGAGTGTGGCACCGGTGCCAAAAGAGTGTGGTGTATAAGACCTCTGGGTACAAGAGTGTGGTATAAGACCCTGGTACAAGAGTGTGGATATAAGACTCTTGGTACAAGAGTGTGGTATAAGACCCTGGCAACAAGAGTTTGGTATAAGACTTCTGGTACTGAGTGTGGTATAAGACCTCTGGTACAAGAGTGGTATAAGACCTCTGTACAAGAGTGGTATAAGACCTCTGGTACAAGAGTGTGGTATAAGACTTTGGTACAAGAAGTGTATAAGACCCCTGGCAAGAGTAGGGTATAAGACCTCTGGTACAAGAGTGTGGTATAAGACCTCTGGTACAAGAAAGGTGGTATATAAGACCCTGGTACAAGAGAGTGTGGTATAAGACCCTGCAAGAAAGGGTATAAGACCCTCTGGTACAAGAGTGTGGTATAAGACCCTGGGTACAAGAGGGAGCAAGACCTCTGTACAAGAGTGCAAGACCCCAGTACAAGAGTGGTATAAGACCCATGGTACAAGAGTGTGGTATAAGACCCTCTGGTACAAGAGTGGGGGTATAAGACCCTGGGTACAAGAGTGTGGTATAAGACCTCTGAACAAGAGAGTGTGTGGCAAAGACTGAAGAGTGTGGTATAAGACCCTGGTGCAAGAGTGTGGTATAAGACCTCTGGTGCAAGAGTGTGGCATAAGACCTCTGGGTGCAAGAGTGTGGTATAAGACCCTCTGGTGCAAGAGTGTGGTATAAGACCTTCAGAGTGGTATAAGACCCTCTGGTACAAGAGCAGGTATAAGACCCTGCAAGAGTGTGTGGTATAAGACCTCTGGTACAAGAGTGTGGTGGCAAGACCTCTGGTACAAGAGTGTGGTATAAGACCTCTGGTACAAGAGTGTGGTATAAGACCCTGGGTACAAGAGTGTGGTATAAGACCCTCTGGTACAAGAGTGTATATGTAAGACCCTCTGGTACAAGAGTGTGGTATAAGACCCTGGTACAAGAGTGTGGTATAAGACCTCTGGTACAAGAGTGGTAAGGCGACCCTGGTACAAGAGTGTGGGTATAAGACCCTCTGGGTACAAGAGTGGTATAAGACCTCAGTACAAGAGTGTGGTATAAGACCCTCTGTACACAAGAGTGTGGTATAAGACCTCCTGTACAAGAGAGAGTGTGGGTATAAGACCCTCTGTACAAGAGTGTGGGTATAAGACCTCTGTACAAGAGTGTATATAAGACCCTGGTACAAGAGTGTGGGTATACACCCTGGTACAAGAGTGGTATAAGACCTGTGGTACAAGAGTGTGTGGTATAAGACTCTGGTACAAGAGTGGTATATAACACTGCCAAGAGTGTGGTATAAGACTTCTGGCACAAGAGTGGTATAAGACCCCGGTATAAAGAGTGTGGTATAAGACCCTGGTACAAGAGTGTGGTATAAGACCTCTGGTACAAGAGTGTGGTATAAGACCTCTGGTACAAGAGTGTGGTACAATATATATAAATATATATTTTTGTTTGTTTGTAAAGATAATTGGCGGTTCTAATAAAAAAATTGGGTAGAGTTAACCTGGAATTGTTGTAGATGAAGGTGTCAAGGTGATGTGTCAAGGTGATGTGTGTCAAGGTGATGTGTGAAGCTAGTGTGTGTCAAGGTGATGTGTGAAGCTAGGGGTGTCAAGCTGATGTGTCAAGCTAGGATGTCGCTGCAGTAGCAACCATGTGTTAAGCTGATGTCAAGCTGGAGTGTTAAGCTAGGGTGTCAAGCTGGTGTGTCAAGCTGATGTGTCAAGCTGGGGTAATCTAGGATGTCAAGCTGGTGTATCAAGCCAGATGTAACGGTTAAGCCAGGATGTTAAGCCAGGATGGCCGTTGCGTTGCTGATGTCA